CAATTTTACACTTTAAAAAATAATAAATATTCATGACAAGTATTCATTGAACCTTATGTCTGAAAATCATGAAAACAAAGGTATTCCCCACATTATTAATCAAGCAACCAAAGTAATTTTTGTTGCCTGAGCAGTTCTTGATCTGGGGCAATATCTAAGTTTGACGCCTCATAAGTCTGAAATTTCAGACGAAGATGAGGTGTCGGACTTATGAGGCAAACATTCCGCCTCATAGGTCCGATGCCTCATAAGTCCGTTGCCTCATAAGTCCGACAATGGACGAATGCTTTTTCGGATTTTTGAGACATCGGAGCTATGAGGCGTCGGACTTGTGCGGCGTCGGACCTATGAGGCGGAATAAATAAAGTTTATGCCTCATAAGTCCGACGCCTCATAAGTCCGAAATTTCGGACTTATGAGGCGTCGGACCTATGAGGCGTCGGACTTATGAGCGGACCCCCTTAATCTAATGCCAGGTACATTAAATTATCATATCTTTTCCCAAAATATCACCAAATAATCCTTCTTGTTAATACAGTGTGCCGCTTTAAAACATGACATCAACAAACCCGTAACCCAGCATTGTGTATTTTGGGTAAATGTTATTTTCTGTATGTGTAGCTATAACTAAATAGGAAATCCAAAATGTACACAAAACAGCTGGCTTGTTCTGTTCAATATTTTTACACAGAAAACTTATCAGCATCAGGTTTCACCAACAAAAATGGTAAGCAGTAATAAGTGTGCATTTTTTTTCTAAAAGTTACCTAGACCTGTCAAGCTTCGTAAAAAAAGTAGTCTTAATCTATGCAAATCAAAGACACATTAATTAAGCCCTGTTCATATTTGGAAAAAGACATTACTTAGCATTTGAAAGGAAACACTGGCTATGTTGAAGCTCATTTTTTGAAAGTTCTGATCGTTTGGATGCTTGCCTTGTCATTGCCTTATTGGCATTCACGGCCCAAGGTTGAAGGTGCTAAGCCAAATCTTTGTGCTAAGCAAATCTCACCCGAGAACCAGTCACAAGACATACATCCTGTGCCATGTTGGCTGGTAACCAGATATTGTCCTGGCTTAGCTCCATGGACTGGCCAGTTGAAGTATGAACCAGGCTTAAATCTTAACCAAGCTCTTCCAGTGTAAGTGTGAAATGTGAAAAGTTGGTGTGGCAGGTTGTAGCAAAATGTGTCAATCTGGCAGTAGGATTACTGTGCAAAATGTGTGTATGAGTAGATAATAAACTGAGCTGGTGACTACAAAACACAAGACATCATGAAGATTGTACCATGTTCCACATGTACTCCATGCTCCTTTGCCAATTAAATGTGTTTGTCTAATTCACATGCGCTCTAAATTGAATAAGATGGGCAGCATACATGCTATAGCGTGATACCATTTTAGTATTTCTTCTAAGTGGACTTGAGATATAAGGACGTCATGCTGTGTTTACATGTGCGCTCTCCTGTGGGAGCCAGGTAGGGACGAGAGCTACCAATGTCCCATGAGAAAGTGCACATGTAAACAAAGCGTGACGTCATTATTATTCAGATCAATTAGTCAAATTTGGTACTGGTACTTCATGTTTGTGCCCTAAAAAATTCGATCATGTTATTTTTATTATCTGTTGTCTCACCTTCCACCTCTTCTTTCTGAATATGTGAGAATGAATTGGATTTTTGTTTTAATTATGCTAGGTACTGTGTCCTGGTCCCCCCCCCCCCTGCGAACGCCACTATCCCCTCCCCTCCCCTCAAAAAACGTCACTACCAACAGCCAGCACCACTTTCAAGACATTTAATGGTTACCAAAACTCAGAAGTCCAATTCTCAATTGTTTGTGGTTCTGAAAAAATATGCCAGACATATTCAATTTCAATCATTCATAAATTCATTTCCAATAATCACAGATTATCACACCACTCAAAATCCAAAGAAGAATGTTCAAAGCCTAACCTGTTGAAGTTTCAGCTCATATTACACATTTTGTGAAAAAAACTGTGAAAAAGCATTCACCACCTTTTAGGCCAAAAAAAAAAAATAAGTCGGTCTCTGGTCAGCGCGCGCATCGATTTTAATCATGCGCGTCAATCTTCTTTTTTTTTCAAAATGTTCCGCGGTAGCTCCAACAGCGCCCTCTATTGCCGCACTTCCTCAATTTTTGTTACCAAAGAGCACCAAGGAATGGGAAATTGCACCAAGGCAAATGATCGAAAGCACCAAGGCAAATTATGGAGGACACCAATGTACATGAGGACACCAAAAAAGCAAAATAGTACCCCAGCTTGTCTGTACAATCCAAGCTTGAAGAAGGAAAAAGAAAGATAAAAAGCTGCGTCGCCGCATCAATTCCGGAACTTTGGTCTGACCAGAGACCAATTTTTTTTTTTTTTTTTTGGCCTTAATCACGAAACGTGATTTTCTCAACAGCACTCGTTATTTCGAAAAAAATCAGTCAGTGGACTGATCATTGGAAATTACCTACATTTCTTGATTTCTTTTTGAATGACGGCTAGCCAGATGGAATAATTTCATGGGTTGTTTAGTACCAGTATGATTTTTAATCCAGGTAAATTTTATATAAAAATTTGGTACGTTGCTTTTTTCCTATACGGCTAATAAAGTCACATTTCTTCAAGAATATTCCTTTCTTGCTGTACTCAAGATTGTCTTACCTTTCACAAAACTAGCTCTGATAAAAGAAGCATTTTTTTGTTGGGGGGGGGGCACAACCCTTGTTAACAAATTTACAGAATAGCAACAAACAAATAAAACTTTTTGGAAAACATCGTATTTATTGGAATGCTAATGCATTGAACTTTAATCACTCAAATGTTTTTCAAAATTTTGTCTCGCTATCTCAAAATTTACACTTGCCAGGTTACATTTTCTGAATTAAATGAATAAAAATAGCAGAAAGATCATGATAAGAATTGTTTCTCTTACATTTCTCTTTTGGCAAATTGGTGATTCGGGATTTAATAAGTTTAAATTGGTGTATTTTTAAATGTAAATTACACACAAAACATGGAGGTACTCACTGCATAACAAAAGGTGGAGTAAAATACAATTGATAACCATGAAAATGAATGTTAAATTCAAAGTGTTCCCTTGATTTTCATATAATCCGATCAAGAAGATACAAATAATTAGTGTTTGGTTACAACTTTATCCAAATGTGTGAGGCCAATTGATTTATAAGGTATATGGTTACAACATATTCAGGTGATTCCTCATAATTTTTAATTTTTTTTACTGGCCTCAAAAGAGACAACATGTTTAACATTCATGGTCAAAATTTTACTTAAATGTCCTAAAATAAATCATGGTTTTTACATTTACATGCAATACTACACAAACAAAAATGTATTTGGAAGCGTGTATCATGATTTGATCTCTGAAGAAGTTTTTGCTAAAGACAACATATATCAGGCCTTGATCTTGTCCTCTTCGGACTTGATATTATGTAGATTCAGTATACATGGTTGTGTTTGGTTCGTATCACTGCAGATGTTCCATCACTGCGATATATACTTTATTCAAAAGGATGCCATTTTTGATCGTGTTCCCTGAAGGTATTTTATAAATTGTAAACTGTTGAATCGCATGGTGCCAGACTATGTATTCCAAGTCTCCCTTTCTTTTCTTTTGTAAACATAGCTCAAAACATTAGGGTACGTTTAATCACAAATTGTTAATTATCCATCAGAGCAGACTGGTATTAATTTAATGTCAATGCTTTCATTTTTCTTCGCAAGTTCCAAAAATGAAGATTTTACCTCGCTTTCAATTTAATATGGCCGACTTGTGAATAAATTAGCCTATTGCTTTATACTTAACTCCTGCATGAGGGTGCTTACACACAACAGGCTGCATTATGTAGAGGGTAAATGGTGATAATTTTGTGGTTATCCCACTAGCACGAGTGGAACCGTGTAGGGATGTATAGTCAAGATATCACAAGTCCCTGCAAGTCCATCACAAGTCCTCCAGTCCGAATGCAAATCACAATTAAGCTATTCAAATGAGCTTTGACAAAGGCAATCCTTTGTTATTGTTCATCCATTGTTTCGTGTGACTAGACTTGTGAATGGAATTGTGTTCTACTGGTGACTTGACTATACATATGTAGCATGATATGTGACAGAGGGAACGCCCCCTTTTGTGTTGGTTATTTGTTACCAAAATCTCAGGAATTCTTTTGAGATATCTAGGGGGATGTGTTAGGTAACAATCGTCTAGGGAGTGTATAGGGTAAAGGAGATTGGTGGGGTACCCCTCTGTAACATCATGCTGGGTATAAGACTTGTGATGGACTGGACTACATCCCTGATGGCACAATGAATAACGTAGTGTGTCTTGTATCCCATACGCCATGAGGCTGAAGGCTGCTTGGCTTTAAAGGGAAGATACAACATTTGCAAACATCAAAAAGTAAAATGATCACATTATCACGAAATACCTTGCTGGATTGTCAGGGAATGACGGTCTAAAGCATCCTGTAGAATCGTAGCTCCTGGTGTGCTGACATTTTCAAGAAAACTTGTATTTTTCCAATGCTGGTCGGCCGACCAGCGTTGGAGAAAACTGTTTTTTTTTTATTCTTCAAAAACTGCTCCTAACTTTTTTCAAATTTAGTTATTCTGCATTCTCTTTGCGATTGATGACACACCTGTGAAGGAGTACAAGCTTGCTAGACTGATTCCCTGCCCTTACAATTCCCCAAAGTCTATAAATTGCTCTGTTTCATCTTTAGTGGGGTCTGGGAGCCAGACTACCAGAACATGATTGATTTTCTTGGTTTTCCAGCATTTCCAAGCCCAAAAAGTTAAACAAGTCAGTTTAACAATTATTTGCTATTACATACTAATCCTCCAAATCCATTTTTCTCTGAATATTGCAGCACAAGCAAATGTTGTACATTCCCTTTAAGCAAACTTGACAAACGAAACAAATGCAATGCTACACTGTGGTCACATTGGTTTCAGCTTTCTCCCCCCCCCCCATTACATGTGCGTGTAGCAGAAGAACACAGGCTAATCTTAGAATATCACAATATAGACTGAGTAACATGGGCTAATACATACTGTTATCGTGGATCGACCTAATCAAGATCCTCAAGACACTGCCAGTGAAAATCCTGTCTACTTTCCTTGTTGCCCTACAAGCATTCATTACAGTGACCTCCCTGGAGTTGTGAGGTCCCAGCCTTCTCTGCTGTGAACAGCCCCCACTTCTGGTCTCCCGCCTTGGACCTGGTCAGTTTGTTGGTCCATCCATCGATGAGATACTGGAAGTCAGCCTCGCTGAATTGCTGCAATTAAATAGACAAATCTTGGTCAGTCCATGTGCCCACAGGCAGACACTTCATCGATCAATGGCATTGCTGTTTTGCACCAGGCACCAATGCAATGACACTGTTGGTTTCTCCATTGCTTTCAAAAGCAATATTGTTGATGTACCCTAACGTGGCGCGGCCCTCAACGTGGTGCACTTTGATTTTTCGCCCATAGCACCTACCTAGAGCAAAAGTTTTAGCTGAAATTTCACAGAAAGTGACATTTCATCAAGTTCTTAACACTGCCGTTCATAAATCGTGAGTTTATTTACCCGTAGCACTAAGTTAGAAGAAAAATTTATTTTGGCGTAATTTTCCGATTTTATTTTGAAGTGCAAAGTGAACCCTTTGAAAATGCCCCGAAAAATAAGAAAATAATTTTCTGACAAACACCTGGCTGGGTATGTAAGTAGAGATAGTAATTATTTATCAAAATTTATCAAGTTTACAGAAATTCTTAAATGTTAATTTGGAATTTTCCGAGATTTATTCAAGTGCGCCACGTTAGGGAACACTCCGCCAATTTGTGCCCCATTTCCGGACGCCACCGTTTTTGAATTTCGGATTAAATTTTATGAAATCGAACTTGTTCACAGAGGTTAAATAGCAAGCATTAATAAGGTAAAAGTGCTAGTATTTTACTGCATGAATTTGAGGTTTGTCAACAAAGAGGTTTGGCAACACTACACGAGGAAAGTCGGGTAAGCTTCGAAGTGCGCCACGTTAGGGAACACGACTATAGAGTTGTGCATACTTCAAGCATATGAGCAGGAACAACAGCATACTTGCCTTGTGTGCCACACTGGAGCTGTTTTGCACAAGTGTAATGTTATGTATTCAATACAAGCACATGGAACTTTGTGTCCCATCAGAAATCTGAAACCCCAGTGAATTATTTATTCTGGACTGCACAAATCCTGTGTGTCCCTGTGTGAGTATCAGGCATTGTTGGCAGTAAGGCAATTCTATTGCAGTAAGGCCAGATAATTATAAAGATGTATGCGACTTTGTGACCGGGCGTAAACTATTTTCCTGCAAATTTGTTGCAAAACTTGCAAATACAGTCCTAATGTAGTAAATGTTGCCTAGAGTGATTCATGACCAATGTTTTGCCTTGGAGGACATCAAATAAGTATCGTTTTGGCATTCACACTGACTATGAACTGGCCTTTAATTTTTGCAAAAAAACTCACGTGACCGTTCTGCTATATTCAATCAGGCATTGTTGTCAAGCCAATCACAAGTCCTCACAAGTTCTCTAGTCTGAAGTCAAATTACAAGCTATTCAACTGAATGTGACAAAAGCATGCCTTTGTATTTGTCACCCCATGTTGCTTGTGACTAAACTTGTGAAGAGACTTAAGATGATTAGACCTATGATTGACTTGTGTTTGACTCGGCTATAACACTTCACTCAACACAGGTTATATCTTCCTTGTCTTCATACCTTGACAAACTCCTCTTTCTCCTGCTCCACTTTGGCCTTCTCTTCCTCCAATACCTCCATGAACTGCCAGCTCCGATCCTCCGCCTTCACGTTGATGAACCCCGCTGTTTCCAACAACTGTTTCAGGCGAAGAAAACATGCAGAAGTGAATCACTATACATCATCATTTCAGGCTTCTCCTACGACAAACCTCTTCCTGCTAACAAACCATTACCTTTCCATAACCCAGGTTTCCTTACTCTTTGAGTTTGGCATAAAGCTTTAGATGAGTCCGTTGCAGTCAAGTCACAAGTAAATCAAATGCCAAGTCACAAGTCTGATGAACAATGCTTTGCATTTTCACAGTTCATTTGAATAGGGCACTCTCATGACCCAGCCCAACCTCGTCCCCAGGGTGTCGAGCAGTACGTGCCCACCACTACCTGCTCTCTCACCCTGGTATTAATTGGATCATTTGCACGTGCAAGATTTTTGAACACGTATGCAAATGAGGAACAGTCTGGTGCCTGGATATGCGTTACACATTAGCGTTTGTTTTTGTATGCAGTGTCTGGGGTAAAAACAGAGTCAATTCGTAGCAGCGCGAGCACGGCGTGAGTTACGAAGACACGATTTTTGAAATCAAACTGTTACGATCTTATCGAGACAACATGCAGTATCATATTTCATATTAATATGAGCAAAGTGGAAAGGAAATTAGTATTTTCGAGAAGGCGTGGACGAATGATCGCGAAAACACGTACTGCACGTTGTGAATAATAGCACCAAGTACACGATAAAAATCCATTACTTGCCAATTGCGGTATCCAATCAGGATACAGGAAGAAAGTTTCCTATCCAGGGTTTACTATTGGAAACGCGGTTGGAAATAAAGTAAGCACTGGGGACGAGGTTGGACCCAGCCTACATCCTGGTACCGGAAAGTCAGCGTCGCAATTGTAGTAGGCAAAGATCGTAGAGCACACTGTGCAGTATAGTAGGCAAGCCTTCAAAGCCGTGATGGAAGGTAAAAAATGTGAGAAAAATGCAACAACATCCAGTACTTTGTCGGCACGATTATGACAACCGTACAAGACACAGGTAGTGACCATTATGCCATTTGATAAAGAATTTGAGGTTAGTTTATGTCAAAATAAGCCCTACTGTAAGCTTACAACACACGACATACAATTCATGTAGTTGCTCACCAAACGCTTGCCTACTGCAATGGTTGGCGATCACGGGGGAAACCAATTGGTCATGTGATACTTTGACGTCATACAATCGGAATTTTTAGCTCATGAGAGTAGATAATTTGCGATGGACTTGTGACAGACTAGTTGTGATGGACTTGTGATGACTTATAATGGACTCAACAACATCCCTGTTATGCACTATGAAGTTTGACCGGATCTATCGGCTTGTCATCAGGTGCCATTTCAATCCAATATTTGGACTTCTTGTGTGTAAAGAGATGACCCACTTTTATTTCATCAACCCAAAGTTTTCCCATACCCAGGGTAAACCTGCTACTCCTCCATTCTACAAACATCGAGTGTGCACGGTCTTAGGCCTGCCCAAACTGGTCTCGACATGTGAGTGGTCACATAACGGCTACCAACAGTTCTAGCAATAGTCAATTAGCTCTGTACCTTTCCATATGCCTTGGGTGTATACAAGGTGTAGCCTCGCTGAGCTACGTAGCTCTTGAAGGCATCAGTGTGGGGCAAGTCTCCGCAGCAGTAGTCAGAGATGAGCAGCTGACCTCCAGGCTTCAACCAAGTCTGTAGGAAAAAAAGATCTATGAGTTAACTCAGATCTGTGAGATATAACTCTGAGAAGGAATTAATGGTGTAAACTGGGATTATAGCTAAAAAGAGATCAAGAAGTTTGGCCCAGCTTCTGTTGCTGTATACAGCCCAAACCACTCCACCTGTTACTAGCTATACCACCCCAGCATTGTATTGTTTTATGGATTCATTGGTGAATAAATACAATGTAATACAATGAACTACTGGGTAATTTAGTGCCCTTCAAAATATGCGGAATTTGTTTGTACTCTGGCATTCGGCAAGCCAATAGGTCTGGTTCAAATTACGTCACTTCCTACAGACCATCCACGTGCATCGGCATTTTGAGCGTCAACTTGCATAACGCGTATCGGCTGCGTTGTATTTTGAACACAATTTGAGCAACAAGCGCGCATGTTTGGAACATTTTCAACCCTGCGCAATGCATGCTTCATTGCATAAAATATGCAGTTGCAGTTCTCCTAAAGAGATGGCCGTTATTGAGCGAGCCCTATATATTGGCTCAACATCATGATGTATTGTTTAAATTCAATCTAAGGCAATTAATTCCACTTTCAAATAGGTACTTTTTTAAACACTGTGGACTAAATGGAATCCACTCTTTCCACTCTTTCAGTTGAAGCACCATTTAAGACTAACAACACTGACAATTTTCAGGTTAATAATTTTAACACAACCTATCTTTTTATACACCCTGTAGTTCAGCCTTAATACACCATTTTATATACTTTCCATTGTGATATTGAGACCAACTACCTCAAACCAAACTTTTTCAAAACCAAAGTTTGCATATCCTCCATAAATCAGCTACCATTTCTGGAAAATCCTATGCTAGAAAAATTCTTTGCTAGAAAAAATCTCTTTCTTTACCAGGAATTTGTGGAAGAGCGCTCCCTTGTCATCAATGTGTAGGAGAGTATCCCTGCTGTACACCACATCAAAGGATTCTGGCGCATAGTCACGTTTAGTCACGTCAGCAATCTCAAACTGTACCTGCGATAAAGATAATGCAATGCTTTTCTTTGTCAGTTTTCAAAATTTTGTAGGCATGCAGAGTTTGTGTGTGGCATGTACATGTACATGCACTAATCATGGAGTTGTCAAAGCCTGCCACAATGCGTTGGGTTGAATTTACACTTTTTGAGCCAGTGGATAGGGGTGGATGTGTGATCGAACCCTCTTCTGGGTTTGTGGAGGGGGTGGCCCACTTACTAGAAGTTAATTACCAGAGATTGCTAAATTATTGGCACAGTAGGCCTATTTAGTGGGTACTCATACGGCATTTGCTAAAATGTAGGGGAGATGGGGGTTAGTTGGAACACGGGGTTAGTTGAAACAATGAATTTTTCTTGATCAGCTTAATTAAATTTTATAAAATGCTACCCTCAAGAGGTGTCCCTTAGCAACAGCCATCCACCATGTTGCCTGCAGCAACACTGCAACAATAGTGCTCAAGTGGGAAAGATAAGTTTGTTTTTTCACCTTTTGAGTAATTTTTTCACCATTCAAAATATGTGTACTTTCTTACTGATGTTTATAGATAACAGTGACTAGTTTGGGGGTATTATATGCTCCAGTACTAAGCTACAAAATAAGGTTAAAAAGATATGTTATTGGAGCCCCTGTTTTGTAGAGTGAGCAAACAAATGTCACATGGGCCACTGGGGCTAGTTGGAATATTTTGATGGGGGCTACATGTAGTTGGAACATAATGATGATAATTGAGGAAATATTCTGACTTGGCAAACAATTTTGAAAGCACATAGACAGGTCACGTTGACCTTACCTCAATTTTATGCAAGCTTTTCATGTTATTTTGGGGGAGTTAAATTTCCCGTTTCGATGTTTTCTTTTTATGATCAGGCTTGTAGCTGACTCTTGCCTCGCAATTTTCCTGTGTTTTTTTGTCTTGGTGCTGTTTGTGCCATTTCTTGCCAGTTTGTTAATTAAAAAAAATGTTAGGAGCATCACCAGTGCTTGGAACAATTATTTTACTTGAACTCAAAATATAAATGCAGTTTTTAAGTAATTGTAGTATACTTTCAGATTAACAGCATACCAAGTTCCAACTTACCCCATACCATGTTCCAACTAACCCCATAGGAGGGGTTAGTTGGAACGCATGTCGTAGTTGTGATCAAGATGGATTTTTTTAAATAACCATCAACAATTCTGAGAATTTTATATGCTACATTTGCAACACACATGTGTATGAATAAATTGGCATAGTTGTTGTTTCTTGAAGAAAACCTGTTTGTGTTATGGATAGGTTTTTGTGAAAATCATTCCAACTAACCCCCGTCTCCCCTACTCATTGACAAGTATGCTCACTGTTCATTAAATAATGGAAAAATTGTCAAAATATAAGTTCAGTGCTGAAATGTTGGCCAGAATGTATTCATGCACTCAAAAAGGTATTCTGTACACAACATGTGTGTCTCTTGAGTTTGTCATACTTCTAAGATCTAGAAAGCCTGCAATCTTTGCCATTTTCTTCAAGTGTATTGGAAGAGTTTGTTCCAAAATGCAATAAACATCATTTTGTTCCGTTTTAGAATCCCACCCAAAGTCAGCTTCGACAGCTGTGGTCTAGTTAAACACAACTTAAGAATACAATACAGTTTAAAAACGGCGGTTATATTGTCTATGTATGTACTATAAGTACAACCATACAACTTTTAAAGTTTTTTTCAAATAGATATATCGCGTTTCGGAAATATACTCTTCATTTGATCAGTTGTTGCCATGACTACCTTCAAGTCTCTATATTCACTGGCTCTCTCCATGGCAATCTCAATCATGTTGCTGGATAAATCCATTCCAACAACCTCCACACCATACGTCTGCAGGATAAAAAAAAGTGGAACCAGTTGAAAAACAAAATCAATCAGAGACTGTGATAAACATTAAGGTTTTTTTTCGAAATCTTTGCTTCGTCTTTGGCTGCGGCTTTGCCTCCGACTTCTGATTCTCTGAGAGGCAAACTAAATAAAAAATATTCCCAACTTTTGGCTTCACATCAACCGATTGAATGTTCCTGAAGCATAACAGGCACCAAAATGTAGCTGGAGTTCCAGAAGTTGGGGGCTAAAATCTCCTTAAGCCGAAGCCGAAGACGAAGCCAGTCGTTTCGAAAACGCTCTGATTTGTTAGTACAAAGATAGAACTGCTGCCAAGATGGAAGTGCCAACTTCATTTGTAAGTTAAAGTTGAAATAAATCTTATTATCAATTTCAAATAGTAAACTTAAAAAAAATGATTTCTAATATGCAGAAAAATTCTATATTTGCAGAAAGTCAGTATCCCAAGGCAATGTATCATATAATATTAGTGATTGTCAGTCATCACACAAATAATATGAAAAACATGACTGTGTGTCTGACTGGGAAACATTTTCCATAAATGATACAAAAAAATACCCACGGACTTTGTACACAACCAATGTGGTGTGTGAATAAACCCTGTGCATTCAACAACAATCCTTGAGGTGTTTTTTTCTGTTTTGAATTCAATAACTATGAATGCCCGAGACGCCTATCATATTTATCCCTGTCAAATGCATGCTCTAAACACAATGCAATGCAACAGTTCTATATTGTATTCTTGAATTGTCCACCTTTGATATCTAGACAGAGGTCATGTTGGTCTTTTTGTTTCGATCATTTTACTCACCTTGGCCATGTAGAAATCCCCTCCTCCGATCCCGGCCCCAACATCCAAGACCCTCTGGCCTGGTTTCAGATCAAGCATGGCCACAAACTCCTGCAAGAAGTTGCAAATATTACCTGTAATTTGTTAGCATTTTTTTAACATTTGGCATTTTGCCAGTATAGCCAGTGCAACTGTCTTTCAACTTATTTTCAGTGAGTTCTTTTAGAAGAAGATCCCCAACTGTGCAAATATAAATCACACAAACTAATCACAAAGGACAAAAACACAGATTTCTTAGAAGATCAAAAGTTCAAAAGGCAGATATTTTGCCATCTTATTTTAATCACTGCCCTTTTTATAAATGTATTACACATGTAGTAAATATCGGAGATAAAGAGATTAACAAGTACTGTTTGTCGATTTCCATTTTCTCAAGTAAGTTCACTAATTTTTGTAGAATGGAACCAATATTTGTGTTGTTTTACTATGAACTTTAATATGTTTGGTTGGGGTATAGACATTTGTGATAAACCATCATTGATGTTTTATTTTGAAGACCAGATCTTGGAGAATTGCTAATTTCCAATTAATATCTGGAAGTGTGTGGGGATGTACATGAAATTTTCAAAAGAGAAAGTGTTGCCTTTTCGCCACTTTTGTTTCAAGGGGGCAGATAAAGAAAGGAAAAAAAAAAACACCAAATTTTATCTTCAAACTAAAAATCCTTCCAAACATTGTTTCCTACCTCAGTTGTCTGTGGTCCCCCAGTGCTGATATACCCATCACCAAAGATCTTCTCATATCTTAGAATCCCCTGCCTGGTGTATTGTTGGTTGTCCAGGAACTGTTGAAAAGTCTCAAAGCCATGGTTGGCGTCCGTGTCGCGCTTCACTTTCTGCATCAGCCAGCAGAACTGGTTCTGGTTTTTCTTGAGCTGCAACGAAAAGCAGAGAAAAGAAGATGCACTAGAAATAATAATTATTTTAAGGCAGAATGCAATCTTAAACGGGAGAGGACCTTTCGATGGGGATTTATTAAAAGAAGGAGGAAGCCAAGTTTAAAAGTTACAGTTACAGCTGGAGTTTTTGAATTATTGCCTGGGGAAGGAATTCAATATTAAAAGAAGCTGATGAATTTTGTGGAAAGGCTTTTCTCAGTTTTAAAGAATTCTTGTGTGAATATTTTGGCACAAGGAAAAGAGGTAATTGTTTTCAATGAGCCTATCTTTTAAAGATATATCAGGATTTTAGGAACAAATCTACTTAATAGTTTAAGGAATTTTATGAGAAATGAGATTCATTAAAAAAATGTGTAATTTATTTCTGAGATGAAGAAGAAAGAAAGAGAAAAAAAGATAGCTTACTGTCAAACTCGTTCATTAGGTAAGACATTTTTTGGCTAACAATGAGGGTATCCTATAGAAAGAGGGCAATGAATATTAGTGCTTACTGAAAAAATATGGCGTTTTGTTTTGTCAGATTCAAATTCGATCCTTATAGAACCAACCTTGATGTACGACTGCACACTTCGGCTGAAGATGAGATCAAATCCTGCGCCAATCTTGTCCCCGTTTTGGATCGAGTCCATCTGAAGGGCAGTGCCTTGAAAGATGGCATTGTACTGGGCTGGCTTGCGGTACACAGTTGGGTTGAAATCTCGCTTCTTATTACCTACGTGGAGAGTGTCAGTTTTACTAATGGATACTTCAAATACCTACCAGAAAAACTGCCAATAAATCCCACTTTTAGATGAACATTTCAGAAAATCATGCTACACTCTATCCTATTTGCATTACGATTCGGCCGCATCACATCAAAAGCAGTATATATATGGCCATTGGTATAAATTACTTGTAAAGGTACCATCGAATTATGAGAAAACCTTGCTAAATTAAAAGTGAAGGGCTTGTCTCAAAAACCCTGTGACATAAGTCGGCCTGTTCGAAACGCTATCTGTTGAAAGAAATCATTCATTGAAGGTAGTCAAAAAACTGTGCCCGCGGTCACATTTTTTTCACGTGCATTGGCACGGGAATGGATCGACCCCAAAATTAGGTATATATTTTCTCCGTGTTCTCAAAATGTATATCTGAGCCAACACTTCAGCAGGTTAGTTGTCATGCACCTATACTTTTGAGCTTTTGAGCAATTGTGTTGCTTCAAACGCAAAAACGCACAAAGAGCTTTTATCATATGTACCAAAGCGGACTTTGGTACAAAAAGCCGGGGGAAAAGAATCCGCAAAAGTATAGGCCTAACGTACGTAATGCCAATACATGCGATATTCTACTTTATTTGCTGAAAGTGTACGCGAACACCAACCAAAGATTCACAAAAGACAAGAGAAATCTCGCTGAAAAAGAGGTGCGATCCGTGAATAATATTCCCTCCAAGAGGTACAAGAAATTACCAGACTGATGAAAACAGGACTCTCTGAAGAACAAGTATCCACCATCGGTGAGCCAGCGCAGGGTATTGCTGGCAAGTTGTATCACCTCCTCGTCGGTCAAATACATCATCAGCCAATTGCTGAAGATCACGTCAAAGCTGTTACAGATTAAGAGGAGGTTATTTTTGTATAAATCGCAAAACAACTACCCAAAGTTCATTTGAGCTACCTAAAAGTTGGTATATAGCATCATTTAAATTGCTATTTCTTAAGGATTAGATAAGTTATGAACTTTCAAATTAGACCTGGCGCAAAAAATGGTCCATGATAATACATCGATTATAAGTATGTAAATTTGGATCGAGAGACTTGCTCCTAATTCCTCCTAGCTCCTTGCACCAACATTTTAATGTATTTCATCTTCGAGAGTATTTTCAACTTAATAATAAAAACAATATATTTTTAAAACGAAAAAGATCGAAGAATACAGTTTAAAGGACGGTTTTCATTCAACAATTCTTCCTCAATTTAATGCTAGCGGGGAAACCCATTAACAGAATTTCTGCAGTAGAGCACAAAAACACCAGTTTGAGTACCACGCCATGGAATATTGCTGCATGAATTAGCCTTAGTTTGCACTTCAAATGAAGACCCTGAACTAATTAATGATCTTCTATACCACCTTAGATTTCAAGTTGTTTTAGGAAAAAGGTATTGAAAATTCAATCGCAAAAGAAATTTAAGGGGCTCCTTTGCATAATTATGTTAGATCTCTCCCCAATCCACAACCAGCACCATGTCCCGACTCCGTCCCCATTACAAAACATATCTCCTGCGGACATAAAAGACAAAGATAATGTCGATCTTATGGAAGGGAAATTCAAATGTTTACCAATGGATATTTCAGTGAAAGAAAATGAAAAAGAAAAAAAGAATTCCATCACATAAGAAAATGTTTACAAAAAGCTACCTTCCTTGATCGAAGTCCAGCTTGGTGACGTCAGCCTGAAAAAACTCGATGTTGTCATGGTGACTGTTGACTTCCCGATTTTTGTCGAGGAATGTCGCCATGAAGTCTACCGCTGTCACGTGCTTCGCGGACTCGGCCAGTACTCCGGTAAAACGTCTTCGAGTAGGAAATAAACTTGTTGCTGCTAAAATCGAGCGCTTATGACAAGGGAGCCATGTTCTTAGTTTTTAAATTTTGGTGGGCCTATCGGGACAATTGTTTTTTTCGATACCTTTCTCCAGAAATGGGTATTTTCATAAATTTATCATTTATAAACAATGGAAATTCAATTCATCAATAACGAGACAGTCAATAAATAATAAATAAGTCCGAAGTTTCAGAACTATGAGGCGTCGGACTTATGAGGCATTGAACTTAGGGATTCTGCCTCATAGGTCCGACGTACGCCTCATATTAAGTCCGACGCCTCATAATTCCGAAAACGGACGAACGATGTTTCGGCCTACTTGTGAAATATGTATCAATATTTGCGAGGACGGTTCTGGTTTTTACGGACACCCGATGTGGAAAGTCAAGACTTCGGAGACGAAAATAATAAGAATTTACATGGAATGGAGTCGAATACGTGAGAAAAAAAAAAACCGCGAATCGCCGCAAAATTGCCTCAATCATAATGCCCCATTTCGAAATATTATTTCAATCACGCGATCTGTCTAACCGGCTTTGTGTCTGGCTTTGTGTCTGACTTTGGCTTATCATATTTAATTAAAACGAAGCCGACGTAGTTTGAAAAGTCCATGTGCTTTCTTTACCCGATGCCAGCACCGAGCTCCAGTACCCTCTTGCCAGCAATAGAGGGCAGCAGAGACAGTATCTCTGGCTGCTCCTCGACACACAACGCCCTAGCCTGGGTGTCCAACATCATCTCCTCAAGAGTAGCGTCTTTAGAGTGGTCACACCAGAAGTCTGTCATCAGGCTACGCGCTCCGTCATCACTGCCGTTCTCAGTAGAACTGGAGATTTTTGATTCTATTGTTCAAAGTGAAAATGAAACTTTATCAACAAGTGTATCGTGACATTTGGGAAATGAAGCGAAGCAGAAGCACGACATGTTTTAGTAGGGCATGTAAACCAAAATTGTAAAGTTGTGAGATGAACATTCACAGAAAGCACATTTTCCCCATTTCTTAACTTTCTCAACATATTTTCAATTTATCATGTTCCGAGCATAGGTAGGAGAACATATGCCTGACCCCTGCCCACCCCTATCAAATTAACAGCCATATGGCTTCGCACCTCTTGTTCTCCCCCTCCCCCCCCCCTTTTTTTGCCCCCCCCCCCCCCCCCCCCCCCCTCGTGATGCCCATGAGGATTTCAAAATGTCGGACGCGTATGTACGCATTATGCCGCGGGCGCACTTGGGGAAGGTTGTGAATATGCATTGTCCAGTTCATGACCTCGTGTTTGTATGATCCCCCACTGATGAGAAATCGCACAGCACGCTATTTGGGGACGTCTCTATAGTCCGACGTCCCATTGGTTCGACGTCCCATTGGTCCGACGTCCCATTGGTCCGAAGTCCCATTGGTCCGACGCCCCATAGGATTCGGATTAGGGTTAGGGTCAGGGTCAGTCAACCTGAACCAGTGGAACTACACAGTAGGCCTATTATGTTTCGTCCCCTTGAAAGTAGGAAATAAAACTGTTTATATATTTTATATATGACCCATTATTTGAACAGGATATTTCACAATTTGACTATTTATTCAAGTCGATAAGAGCAGCGTATCTGCATGGGAAAGAGCCACCATTCTTCTCACTCGGCTATATTGGATTCCCAGCATGCATTGCAGTTATTCGGGCGGCTATGGATTTTAGTCTCAAGTAAGTACATGATAGGCCTAGGCATCGAAAACATTCTTTGCTATCATAAAATTGCACATATTCACAGTTTAACGCAAAGTTTCATAATAACTTAACTGGTTGTCATGGTAACAGTGGGCATCCTACATAATAATCTTTGTATACCATTTTGACCTCTGGTAGAAGTTAAAAGAGATCACCGAAGTTCATACCGATCACCCAAAGCGTTCAGGGGTTTGCCCCCTTAGAAGCTATCTAAACAGTCATGCAGTAAAATTAAAACAAATTTCTGTCAGATCCAGGTGTCAGATTTCATTATGTATCCAGGTTTCAGTGAAATCACTGCCTGGTACCACATCCAGGATGCACGGATGTTCAGGTAATTTGGAGTCTGGGAAAAAATTTTCACTTCCTCTTCCGGTAGTGTGATTTATTTTATGTGCGTGTATATGCCCTGTGCAAACAGTTCAGAATACATGTTACGATTTATAGGATTGACCCTCAGAGTTTTGAGCTCTCAGGAGTCCGTTATTCTATCGAGGAAATCCTTCAGTCAACCAACCGATGTTTTTATCAATGATGGCGCATACGTTGAGGACATCAGTGTTATTGGTGTTACTAGCGGTGTGCTTAACAGGAGTTAGAGGTAACTTTTTTTGGTCAAAATATTTTGTCTTGTTTTTGAGTGGTTGAGCAGAGGTCAGAGAACTTTACATATCCACTCCTCATCTGTCCTGCTGGAGTGACGAAGTTTTCCACATTTTCCGGCCCATCAGTGGCCCATTCTCTGGTATGGGCATACTTGTCAGTGAAGCTTGAATCATGTATGGTCCAAGAAGTAAAGTAAGTCCTAGAGATATTTATAGCTCGAAAAGTTGTGTTTTCCTTATGGCTACAGGCCCCTAGTGTGCCGATGGTTTAAATTCACATTTTTTTTCTTCAGATTTTGAGATTTTGAAAAGGAGGACTTAGGCCTAGCTTTATAAACCCAACAAGTGCCTTTGAACGTGGGAAGTTAAAAGACAAGGATTAGGAGTTACCTATCAAAGCCAAATCCCAACCCAACCCGGTCCATATAGACAAAGCCCGGTAAAGCAGTATTTGAAAAGTGAATAATCAATTATAAAGGTAAGTAAACTACTTAGCATATGTTACAAAAACCAATGATCTTGAAGTCATTTCACTTTGAAGTTTTCTCTACTAGGCCCCATATATATACACTGAAAAATTGCCTGGGTTAATTTTACCCAAGAAAGGCTGAAAACTGGAACTACCCAAACTTGGGTTGTTCTATAACCAATTGTTTGGATTATAATTTCTGCTAAATTCAACCAAAACTTGTCATGCTTGTGGTCATTCAAGACCAAATTTACTTTGGTCTTGTATGACTACAAGTTTTGAGAGGCCCGAACAGGGGAAATGCATACCAGTGGAAAGGTGGGGTCACAAAACTCAACATTTTAAGAGAATCTAGCAGCAAAAGTCTGTAAAAGGGATTGTTTAATAGTTGATAGTTGACTTAATTGCTTTACTAAATAATTTCAATACTAAAACTAGACCTATATGTCTGTTTCAGAACAGAACACTGCTATTCCGTATCATGATTTTTTGCATGCGTTTATATAAATGTACATGTAATTTATGTAATTCATTTGAAAAAGTTAAAAATTAATGTACTCGCACAATTCAAAGTGCATTTTATGTAAAATTTTACTGCATTTTGAATTTAAGTTACAATATATGACGTACTGTTACTTAACGAATTCGCTTTGTCGATAAACCAAATTGAATGAAATGTAAAATGGTTAGCCTTGAAAATGGAAATGAGATTAATCATCTGAGCACTGCTCATTTGAATAAATATGATTGTTTGATTAAAATGGAACCACAGATGTACAGTCGAATGCCATTGTAACAAACATGATGGGGCCCGTAAGAAAATGTTCCTTAGTTGTTCGTTCATTATAATATATTTAACTATTTCAGGAGCCAAATGGGATGTTCGTCATAGCCAAATGTTTGTTAAAACTGTGTTCGTTATAGCATTATTTTACTGTGTTGTGCAAATGTTTCCTGTTCTACCTTGAAATGGCTTCAAGTTCAACTTCTGAACCCCATGATTTCATGGAAAAAAAGTGTTTAAATGATGGAAAGTGACCAGTTCATTCACTTTCAGACAATCTTTTTTCCCAGCAAGTTAAGTTAAATAATTTAGAGCAAAGCTTGCTTATTGTTTTCACTTTCATATTCGCACAGAAGTAAGTTTCTACTTCTAGTTTCCTCTTGGTCACCCAATTTACCTGCATACATAAAATTTCTGACCCTAGCCGAATGTACCTATTTTTTATGCTTAGTACAACCCAATCAGAACGCAACACAATGACTTTTCCAGGCTAGTCTATCTGGGAGGCTAGTTTGTTGAAGGTCACGCCTGATGAGTTCCCAGGTAGGCCTGGATCCGGCGTAATCAGCTATGTTGATCTTTCCGGAAGGCACGCGCAAATTTGCCCAGTGATGTTGATCATTTCCAGCGTTGCATTGCGTGCTAAGTCTGTAAGACTACCGGTGGCCTTTGTAAACATTGCGGACCACGGTATCCTTTTTCATGTACATGTACATGAAGCTTACTAAGCTACCGGTGTAGCCCAGGATAGACTCCGTTGTGTGCACATGCAATGAAAACGTCGTCCAACCTGGGCTAGGCTATGGTGGTGTCGCCACTACTTGTGAAAAAAAATATTAAAATTTGAGGAATTAGGACTGTTACTTAGGTTGAAGGTTTCAGCCCCTTCTCCCTTTCAAGAAAAGTCTTTGTCCTCTTTGTTGGAATTGGAAATTGTCTAGGTATTTCTAACCCTTTCTCTTCACATTACAGCACAAGTGCCCATTGGGCTTCATCGGATAGTTCAGTCGGCGTATAACTCAGCCCACGTATATAACCGATGCAGATATTAAGGCCAGCCTAGTTTCCAGACCAAATTTAAGAATTCTGATGAGTATTTCTGACGTCAAAATATTGTTTGCCACGCATGCAGCATAGCGCATGTGGCAATTGTTTGCCACGCAGCACGTGGGTTGTTCCCTTCGAAGTTATCGTCCAGTTTCTGCTTATAGTTTTGCTTTGACTTAATTTTTAATCTGCTTGTGGATCTCCTCAATGAGTTTCACTTGCATTATATCACCAATAATATTGAGAACGCTGATTTTTTTTTCTGCTGATGAAGATATGCGTCAGTTCTGAGAAAAAAACCATGGGCTTGTTGTTAGGGACTTACTTTGAAGGTTCAGCGGCCGGGAATGCAAAAAACTTGATTTCCAGCAAGAATCAACACAAAACTACTTGATGTAGTCAGATGTTGCAATCACTGTCTCCTCCACTGTATCAGCAGTCATGAAGTGCATCACAAAGTGTACAATCAAAGCATGCACATAGTTTCTCTGTAGCATCAGTGCTCCAAACACTCCTTTCCCTGACAACCAATTTTCTCCTCTTATGAATTCTGTCTATAGGATGGCTGGCAGTAGTAGAAAATTTTTGTGACCAGATCTACCAAGTGGAGCACATGTTTTTGGCTGTTCTGGTATATGCCTACAATGTTACAGTAGCAGAGATCAAGTGTTGTTTCATTGTGGTTATGCTGTTGTACATAATTGATTGCAAGTAGGCAACGCAGCGTACTAGCCTGTACTGGTTGAAATCTCCTGAAATGATTTTGGGAAAGTTGGGCGAGGAGGCGTCCAAGCCACTGAGCTTAGAAATGATGAATTCTTGTGAAGTTCCAACATTAGCAAGTAGAGGTATATAGACAACCAGCACACAGAGCTAATAAATTCACCGGCATGGATCGGGAAACACTCCTCACAACACCCTACTCACCCATGGATATTAAGGTCTACCATCTGGTTAAACACCCTCGGTTAATAGAATGGTCAAAGCCATGGGCGTCGCGAGGGGGGGGGGGGGGCAAGGGGGGGCACTTGCCCCCCCCCCCTGGAAAGCAAAAAAAAAAAAAAAAAAAGAGAAAAAGAGGTGCGAAGACAAAGTGGTGTAAATTTAATGAGTTGGGGGGGGGGCAAAATGTCCCTGCCCCCCTTTAAAACTGATAAATCGAGAATGTGTTGAGAAATACAAGCATCTTTTTGCAAAAACTTTTGTGCCCCCCTCTAGAAAAAATCCTGGCGACGCCCATGGTCAAAGCCCAACAACAAGAAACTCATAATCTGATGTACATACCTAGCTTGTCCTTTATTGTCCAATTGTTGCACCACTGGGAATACATGTATGTCCATGCACCTCCACGCAATTTTCCATATGTCACTTAATTCTCATAAGCTGATAATTGTTGAGGGCTACGTACTGTACTATCTGGAATGCCACTAAAGAACATCGAACAGCAGCAGCAGAGAGCAACATGTCAGTGGTGGTTATCACGTACAGCTCAGCACCCTCAATGAATTGAACATGCAAGAGCTGATGGAACACCGTAGTTTCTGCAACACCTCAACAGGCTGCTCAGCAACATCCAGTTCACAATTGATCAGAAACAAGATGGCTGCCTCTCTCTCCTAGATGTTGCAGGTCTCCAGACAACCAGATGGCACGGTGTGTACGGCCATGGTACGGCAAACCCACACACACTGATTGCTACCTCCACAACCAATTCTTTCACCTCCCCAAGATCAAGTTGTTCTCAATTTTACCCCATCTGACCATGGAGGAATGTTCTTATTCCTCCATGATCTGACAAGGAGAGAATGCAACATCTGCAACCGGAAAACACCTGTGAAGAACTTTACTACGACAAGACAGCACAGCAATGCAACGAACACAAGGCCAAGAATCCAGACCCAAGTTCCAAGGTCCTCTCCTGACCAAAGGGTCTCCTACACGTATACCCAAGGTCAGCCCCTATAGGTATAAATCATCGGTCACACTCCCATACATAGGTAGTTCCTCACACCACATCTAGTGTATCCTGAACAGCAATGACATCAAACCATTCATATTTTGTTCAATTTTCTTCCGGGTAACATGTATTCCTTGCAATGTGAACAAAAATAGTTTCACAATTTTCACACCAATGGAATGTAGAGGATCCTAGGGACGGGGTGGGGTTGGGTGATGAGGTAGTACTACTACTAGTGTGGGTTGTATGACTAACTGGTGAAGAGCTCTGGGTCTGGCTAAATGGGTGATTGGGAGGGCAACACGGGCACGCAGGTCCTAGTGAACAGGTGACGCTTGAGAAGTTAGTTTCCTTGCCTCAGGCTCAATGACTGCCATTTATTCTTGCCAACCTGCCAGCCCAGCTGCCAATTCTCACTGTATGAGAATTCGGCAGTGAGGTAAAAATACAAAGAATACAAATTACAAAAAGCACGCACATGTCAGTGTTATACAGATATAAAATTACAATAAACGTGTACATGTAGATCTATTTCCCCAAATTAAATAAACAATCTTCGCATGAAATAAGAATTACCTCAGGCAATGCTGAACATAAAGGAGCAGGCTCACATTTACACATGCTGGCCAGGCACACTCATACACACTATCAACCACTTTCATACACACCAGTCCTCAATGAACAGGAAGAGCCATTATTTGTGGGTTATTATTCCCTAAATGTAAACCTTAGATAATCA